AGGCGCCCGCCACAATGCCTGGCTATTTTTAGAGACAGAGTCTCACTCTTGCTCAGGCTGGTCTCGAACCTGTGAGCTCAGGGCAATACACCCACCTGGGCCTCCCAGAGTGCAAGGATTATAGGCGGGGAGCCACTGTGCCTGGAAGAAGAGCTGGGCATGATGGATCATGCTTGTCATCCTAGCTACTGGAGAGGCTGAGGCAGAAGGATTGCTTGGAGGCTAGGAGTTTGAGGCTGTGGCGAGCTATTATTTATTTCTTTGGTAGAGACCAGGTCTTGACATACTCTCCAGGGTGGTCTTGAACTCCTGGCCTCAAGCAATCCTTGTATGTTGGCCTCCCAAAGTGCTGGGATTACAAGTGTGAGCCACCATGCCTGGCCTGTACATTTCAAATAACATTCTAGAAAGATCTTATCATATGAACTATAAACAGGGCCTGTCTTCTGCTGTTCCAGCAAGGCCCTACCAACACACACCCAGCTGGAGCTGGTCACAGGTTTGGCCTAAATCCTCTCCCTTCTGTAGTATGGGAGAACCCCCAAGTGATGTTTTAGGGGCTCCTCAACTCTCACCCCTACCACCTGGTTCTTGGATGTGCTCTCTACTGCCCCAGCCCTGCCCTCTGTGCACTCTCCCCACCCAGGCACTCACATGAGCAACCACCTGTACAACGTCCCTGTGGCACACTCACCGTCGCCTTCCTTCTCACCCTCACTCTCCTGGTCACCCTCGTAGCCAGAGCAGCAATCCAGGCTCCAGTCCAAGAAGCTGCCCAGCAGTGTCTCCTCTTGGCTGGACAACTCTGCAGTAGGGGTGGTGACAAAGCTGCCCCTGTCCTCCTGGAGGCTGTTTTCCCGCTTCCTACAAGGTAGGAAGAGCCCATGACACCCTAGTCACAGGCAAAGCAAGGTACCACCTGCCTGCCCCTGGCCCACACCGTGTGCTCCTAAAACTGCTAAGTAGAAAACACCCATAAGGCTAGAAAAAGGGTAAGCCCTGAGGGCAGATCCTAGTCTGGATGTGAACTATAGTCCACCCTGGTCAGCTGTGGGACCATCTGAAAACTGGTAGAACAGTGACACCATCCTCCAGTGCTGAGTAAACAGGGTGCAAGCAGTGCTTAGCCTGGCACTGGGCAAGGACTGCATGGGGTAGCCTATCCCTGGGAGTGCAGCATGGCTGCTAGCTGGGCTCAGGCTGTGCCTAGAAAGGGCAGGAAGCCAGAGTGTGGGGCTGTGCCTGGGAGAAGTCACCACAGCAACATAGTCTTTCTGTTCTTCGACCTCTGGGGATGGGTGGAGGTGCCCTACTATCATCAAGGGGGTTTCATTCCCAGACAATAGATGGACCTGGGGTGGTGGTGTCTGGGCATACAGCTAGATCCTACCACCTCGTCTTTAGATGCTTGTATGTGTGTGGGCTTTTCCTGCAGGGGGACCCCACCCCCAAGTAGTCAGGGAACCGTTTGCAGAATAAGATGTAGATGGCAGCCCTGTCAGGAGGAGCCCAGGCCTCCCATCATAGTGGAAGATGCTTCTCTGGCAAGCACACAGGAGCTGGCCCCCATAGCAGAGCCATGGACACAGGTCTAACTAACCGTTTGGTTCTCCTCCCCGAGGGAGAGCTGAGGAAGGCATGGATGTCACCGGTGCTGAGGAAAGATGGGGGTTCTGGACTTTCTTGTTTCACTCCCAGTGTTGCACACAACTGGCCATAGCTTAGCACCTAAAGGAAGGCCAGAGTCAGGGAAGCCTTTGAGGCATCCAAGGGTGAGGCTGAGGGGCTAGGGCCATGTGAGGCCCATCTCCACCCAGTGTCCCCACTTAAGACACCCAGATGGCAGGAGAGGGAGGCACCTCTTCCTGGCTGATTTCTTCATAGCGCTTGTCCTCAAATCGCTGCTTCACGGCAGTCAGTGACACCTGCCTGTAGTCTTTGGGGGCATCATCATGGAAGCTGGAAATGGACAGACGAGGTAGACATGTGAGGCACCCCCACCCCATTTTTAGCCTCAATTCACTGAAGTGAGAGGGGGCAAATGCTTGTGGCAATGAGAATGTAAATCAGTGTAGCCCCTCTGGAAAATGGTCTGGCAGCCAAAGGGTTAAACACAGAGCCACCCTGTGACCCAGCAGTTCCAACCCTAGGTATACATCTGAAAGCCAAAAAGGATGTCTACATAAAAACTTGTACAAGAATGTTCACAGCAGCATTGTTCACCATCGCCCAAAGGCAGGAAGGTGCATGTGTCCACCCTCTGAAGACACGGTGAACAAAACGCCATTACTCCTATAAAGAGACTTCATTCAGCTATAAAAGGAACAGAGCTCTGACACATGCTGTGACACAGAAAAACCTAGAGTGAAATAACTCAATGCAAAAGGCCACACATTTTATGATTCCATATATACCAAATGTCTAGCACAGGCAAATCCACAGAGACATAAAGTATACTGGTGGTAGCCAGGGGCCGGGGAAGTAGCGGGAATTGGGGGTGACAGCTAAGGCACAAAGGGTCTCTCTTTTTTTCTTTTTCTGAGACAGAGACTCACTTTGTCACCCTTGGTAGAGTGCCCTGGTGTCATAGTTCATAGCAACCTCTAACTTTCAGGTTCAAGTGATTCTCTTGCCTCAGCCTCCCAAGTAGCTGAAACTACAAGCACCCGCCACAATGCAGGCTATTTTTAGAGATGAGGTCTTGCTCTGGCTCAGGCTGGTCTTGAACTCGTGAGCTCAGGAGATCCACCCACCTCAGCCTCCCAAAGTGCTGGATTACAGGTGTGGGCCAGCGTGCCCAGCCAATACAGGATTTCCTTTGTGGGTAAAATGTAAATTTGACTGTGGTTATTGCACAATTGTGAATTTATTAAAAGCTTATTAAGTCGTACAATTAAAGGATATTAGTTTGTAAATAAATGTTCCAGTTTATCTGGTTTGAGATGAAAAACAACTTCTTTAGGTGGAAAAGAATACATAGCTCAGCAACAACTTTTGGTGGCCAGTATCAGTGATGACTTGTGCACTTAGTGCAAACAAAGGTGGGCTCAGGGCTTGGCGCCTGTGGCTCAAGCGGCTAAGGCGCCAGCCACATACACCTAAGGTGGCGGGTTCGAATCCCCAGCCCGGGCTCGCCAAACAACAATGATGGCTGCAACCAAAAAATGGCCGGGCGCTGTGGCGGGCACCTGTAGTCCCAGCTACTTGGGAGGGTGAGGCAGGAGACTCACTTGAGCCCAGGAGTTGGAGGTTGCTGTGAGCGTGATGCCATGGCACTCTACCCAGGGGGATAGCTTGAGGCTCCGTCTCAAAAAAAAAAAAAAAAAAGGTGGGCTCAGATACATATAAACCCTATCACCATCACCCTCATTCCCTGCATCATGTAGAGGGTCCAGGTACCACAGGAGAAAACAACATGGGCAGAAACACATGCCAGGTTCTGAGAAATGCTGGCAGCCTCCACACTGGAGCCCAGAAGGGAAGGGGCAGCAACACAGAAGGGGCTGGTTAGGGGCCTGGTGCTGCTCTGGAAAAGGGTAATGGCAAACCCAGTGCTACAGAGCTGGGCCCCAGGTGGGCATAAGTGGAAAAGACACACTCAGAAGTGCCTGCCTAGTATTCCAGGAGGCCCTGGGGAGGTCAGGCCCTAAGATGTGAGTGTTCAAGGAAAGGGTACGGGTTGGAGGGCTGCTAGGGTGTAGGATGGAGAAGAGAAACAAGCCGGTTGAGGCCTCTGCTAGGATGAAATGGCCAAGACCAAGGCCAACAACAGGATGTACAGATGACTGAGGACTAGAGCACGGTAGGCTCAGTCTCTGGGCTCAAGTTGGAGGTCGAGGTTTAGATGTGGTCTGAATCCTGGAGTGGTTAAGTCTCCCAGGGGAAGTCTGAGGAGAGACAGAAAGCCAGAACTACCTGGCCCTCTGAGGTGGGCAATGGGAAACCTACACTGAAGTAGGCAAGAGAAAAGACCCCTGTGGGGTCAGCTCACTGGGTTTGCTGAGAGACTAGACAGGGGGTAAGAAAGCAGAAAGTCTGAGTGAGGCTGAGTAGGAGGCTGAAGGGGATGAAAACAGTCCATCCACATCCTTTGCCTCCATGATGCTCTCCACTCATAGCCACCAGCCTGACCAGTACACACTCAGGCCCTGGCACACAGATGATGAAGACCCCTTCGCTTCCCCTCTTTTGCTTTTGCCTCTATCACCACCTAACTTCTGTTCTTCCACCACTTGGCTATTCCTCTGGTACCCGGACCATGGTTGGGCCTCCATGAATGCCATGGGATGAACCAACATGGGCTGTAGGGAAGTGGCCCAGGGGGTGAAGGTGCCAGGTGCAGGAGCCATAGGGCAGGAGACCTGAATGGAGGTAGAGGACATGCCTGGCCAGGGCTGAGTATGGCAGGTACAGATGGGACCAGGTGCTGAGGGACCCCTGCACTACCTTTCCTTTTTTCAGTGAGAGGCTTTATTTAGACCAGTGGTTCTCAACCTTCCTAATGCTGCAGCTCTTTAATACAGTGTGAGGTTTGAGAACTGCTGATCTAGACCAATTGCTAGATCAGGGGCAGAAAACTTGCTCCATAAAGCGAAAGGCAGCAAGTATTTTCAGTTCTGTGGGCTTTGTGGTCTCTGTTACAGCATGAAATTCACCTGTTACAGAGCAAAAGCAGCCAACATGTGGAAATGTATGAACACGGCTTTGTGCTAATAAAACTTTATTTTCAGGTCAGTCCTGTGGCTCAGTGAGTAGGGCACCAGCCCCATATACCAAGGGTGGCGGGTTCAAACCCAGCCCCCACCAAACTGCAACAGAAAATACCCAGGGGTTGTAGCAGGCGCCTGTGGTCCAAGCTACTTGGGAAGCTGAGGCAAGAGAATCACCTAGCCTAAGAGCTGGGTTGCTGTGAGCTGTGACACCACAGCACTCTAATGAGGGGGACAAAGTGAGACTGTCTCTAAAAAAACCCAAAACAACAACAAAAACTTTATTTATAAAACAGTTGGTGGGCCAAATTTGTCCTGGGAGCCACAGTTTGCCATCTCCTAAGCTAGATGACAATCTATCATATACTGAACTTACTCCTGGTCAGGGATATGTGTTCTGCTGCCTGTGGAATTAGGTCTGGGCTGGGAAGAGCTACTGTACACACATCCAATATGCAGGATGTATGGAATAAGAACATAGTCCTGAGCTGGGTGTGGTGGGTCTTGCCTGTAATCCTAGCACTCTGGGAGGCTGAGGCAGGTGGATCACCTGAGCTCATGAGTTTGAGACCAACCTGAGCCAGGTACCGTGGCAGGTACCTGTAGTCCCAGCTACTTGGGAAGCTGAGGCAAGGGGATCAATTGAGCCCAAGAGTTTGAGGTTGCTATAAGCTATAATGCCACAGCACTCTATAGAGGGCAACAACAACAACAACAACAACAACAAAGAACATAGCCCTGGAAGTTTTAGAAGAGGGTAGCTCTGAGGAACATTTCTGGCCTGAAACTCACTGCAAAAAGATCTATGTGTGTGGACCAAGAGCTGTCACAAGGGAAAGCAAATGCCCTTGACTGTGAAGCCACACCCACTCCACCAAAGTCTGGCCAGAGGACGCCTTTCTTTTACAAACTCACCACCTTTTTTTTGCAGTTTTTGGCTGGGGCTGGGTTTGAACCCACTACCTCCGGCATATGAGGCCGGCACCCTACTCCTTTGAGTCACAGGCGCCACCCCAAACTCACCACTTTTTTTTTTTTTTGAGACAGAGCCTCAAGCTGTCCCCCTGGGCAGAGTGCCGTGGCATTACAGCTCACAGCAACCTCCAACTCCTGGGCTCAAGTGAGTCTCCTGCCTCCGCCTCCCAAGTAGCTGGGACCACAGGCGCCCGCCACAACGCCCGGCTATTTCTTGGTTGCAGCCGTCATTGTTGTTTGGCGGGTCCGGGCTGGGGATTCGAACCCGCCACCTTAGGTGTACGTGGCTGGCGCCTTAGCCGGTTGAGCTATAGGCGCCGAGCCCAAACTCACCACTTTTTATGAAGGCTCAAGACACAGGGGATGAGATCTTCATAGGAGAATCCAGTAAGCTCCCACAATCGTGTGGTCCAGGGCTGTGCTGGGGAGGAAAGCAGAAGGGATGGAAGGACTGTCAAGATGGTTACTCAGCCACTCCCACCCACAACACTGATAGTTCTACTGTAGTTTCCTGGAACTCAGGATTGTTATCCCAATTGAAGGACGGATATGGTAGTTTATGTCTATAATCCCAGCACTTTGGGAGGCTGAGAAGGGAGGATCCCTTGAGCTCAGGAGTTGAGACCAGCCTGAGCAAGAGCATGAACAAGACCTCATCTTTACTAAAAATAGAAAAATTAGCTGGGCATTGTGGCAGGTGCCTGTAGGCCCAGTTACTCAGGAGGCTGAGGCTAGAGGATAGCTTGAGCCTGAGTGTTTGAGGCTGCAGTGAGCTTGATAACACCACTGTATTCCAGCCTAGGTGACAGAGGGAGACTGCCTCAAAAACAAACAAACAATTGAAGAGGCCCCCTATGTAGAACAGAAACCTGGGGAACTTAAGCTCAAGCTGCTTCCTACTCACCCCCCAAAGAGAAGTCCCTTTGGTTCGCTCTGGTGTGTTTCCTTCTCCAGGATGGGTAGATGTCCATTTCATTTCCTCCCTGTAGCCCTCCTATTAGAGTACTTCCCCTAAACCCAGGAAACATCCCCACCCCACCTTGAAGATCTGTTCCTTACTCTGCCCATGTGTCAGTCTGGCCAGGAGCAGGGCTGTGGCAGCCAGGCAGGCAGGGGTGTAGGTGGACAGGCTGGTGTGCAACAGGGAGAGCTCACACAGGAAGCTGCACAGGTGTTGGGTTCTTGGTGCCGTGGGGACCAGGGTCAGTAGGACCTCTTTGTAATCAACCACAGTAGGGACCTAGATAGACAAGGGGTGGGCGTGGGGTTTTAGCACTCAGAGGGTTCCTCCACCACATTGCCACATGGGCCCAGCCCAGGGCATGGCCCGGATGATGTTCACACTGATGCCCTAAGTGCAATACAGCGATGGCTTCTGGTCCATGAGGACTTCCCAGAGCAGCAAAGCCGATTCCCCTCCGAGTCCTCCAACACAGTGAGGACTCATGTGATTATTAAGGAAAAAGAAAACTACCACTTACTCGAATCTTTCCTTCCAGCACAGAGACAATCTCTCCCATCATCCTCACCAGGTCCTCATATTTGTATGTGTTGTCTGTGAGCCACACGGCCTCTCGGATGGTCAGGATCTCCTTACTGATGAACCTGAAAAACAAAGAAGGGGGTCTCAGGGGAGCCCAGGGAGGCTTCAAGTAAGAAGGGTAGGATGGCTTTGGTGACAAAAGGAGGTTTTTCAATCACCCCAGCTGCCTGTGGAAGGAGAATTAAAAGGATAGTACAGTCAGAAGGTGCTGGACATAGAGGATCACTTGAGCCCAGGAGTTTTCGTTGCTGTGAGCTATGATGCCACCATGGCACCGTACCCAGGGCAACAGAGTGAGGAGGGAGTGAGAGTTTGTCTTTTAAAAAAAAAAAAAAAAAAAGAAGGTGCTGGACATAGAGGATCACTTGAGCCC